AGAAAAAAACACGGGCCGAGTTTACCATAGACCTTTTAAACATTTTTTTTCCTCGGGCCGAGTTTACAATCACCCCAATGTTGATAATCTATCAAAATTTTTAAAAAGAAGGTGACAAAGTCCCAGTGATAAAAAACAAAATGTTCAACCCGGGCCCCGCCCATTGAAAACTTTTAAGTACGCCTCTGGTTGGTTAGTCACAGACATTTTAATATTTTCTAGTGTCCAAAAATTTTCTAGTATCAAAAAATGTTCTCCTTTAAGGTGAACTTCTGTTCTTAGTAACAGAAAAAAGTTACTAGGACTCAAGTCAGGCGAATAAGGGGGTTGAGGGGCCACGGGAATATTTTGTTTTTTATCACTGGGACTTTGTCACCTTCTTTTTAAAAATATATAGACGATAACGACAATATTAATATGTATTTTTGTCCGCACGCAACTAACTGACTGTGTACGATCAAAATTTGATGACATCTAATGTATATTTTGATTGATATACGGCACCCATAATTTCATTATGAAATCTTTTTTCGTTGTTGGTAAAGTATAATGTATACTCAATAGTCATATTATTATGACGTATGTTTGTGTATACACGGATGATTAATAATAAAAAAATTATCAATAATATCAATTTTTTGGTCCTTGTGGTGGGGAGGGGGGGGGGTTGAACCCGAAAACCCTCCCGTATGTACGACACTGAGTTCAGATATATTTAACTTGTCATCAAATATACAAAAACATATTGACATTCGTTCTTTACGACGTGTATTATCATTTGCTAAAATTGTTGAAATTTGGGTATAAATCATAGACCATACACATACTCTTAATATAGATTGATTATTCTGATTGGATTATCAGCCATCCACGCATGCTCAGTAATAACCAAGGCTCTAGCTTTTCGGTTATTTTGCCATAAAGTCAAATACACAAGGATACCGTACGGTACCAATGTCATGATAAATAGGTATGAGACATACCGTATGTTAGCAATATACCGGAAAGGACAAATCGACCTAACCTAACCATCCAACAACTATGTACTGCGCCACTACTGCCACCACTGCTACTATCGAAAAACAACACCACCACTCCACTGCTCTGCCATTTAGCGAAATGATAATGTAGAGACGTAGACAAGAGATCACGCTGACATATCTATTTAATTTATCATGGTTAATACCTTAGAATCACATTTTTGCTTTTACCCTCCCCCTCAGAGCACCAATTAGATTCAACCTGCTTCCAGAAAAAATTTAAGACTGTAGTAAAAAATCTAAGCATTTTTATTCCCCAAAAAGATGACGAAATATGTAAAAAAAAAAATAACAAACATCATTGTAAAATTAAAACATTTATCCCTCCAAATCGAAAACTGTTTATAAATCATAACTTTAATATTTTAGCGATGTATAAATTGTAACTAATTTGTATCATAGTTATTTTAATGTTATTGARGGTATTTTGTTAGTAAAAAAAAAAATAATAAATAAACTGTAATTTGTAATTTTAAATTGTAAATAAATAAATAAATTGTAAATGCAGTTTATCTATTGAGCGAATTTTTGAAATTTCTTAAAATATCTATATAAATTTCAACGAGTTAAGATCTTTGACGAAATCTGAATTTGTCAATGGGATTTAGTTTGAAAGTTATGAATTTATAATCTTTTGAAGTTAACAATTTATTATTTCCAACCATCCACCATTTTGGTTTTTTTTTATTGAAAACTTCTTTGCAACCATAATAATATAAAATAAAATGTAAGTACGATAAGTAATTCATGATTTTACTAAAATATAGAGAATGAAGACTCAGATTCACAAAAAAAAAAGGAAAAATGAAATTGTTTGGAATTTTAAACTTGAAAATCCAATCATGACATTTTGGCCGATTTTTTATTAAAATTACCATAAATTAAACATACAAAACAAACCTTTTGAAAAAAAAAATTCAAAAATCGTCTTTGAGCTTAGTTTTATCCCCAATTTTCATAAAATCGGATAAGAAAACAAAATTACACCTCATTGGGGAGAAATTAAGTTATCTAATAAGGGCTACCTGTTTGTAGGAGCATTCACAAAATCAGTGGTGCAAAAAGTGTGCGCACCGAATTCACGCCAGCGATGCCAGATCAATTGAAGCGAATATAAAATATTGAAAATTGATTAAATTGAATACGTTTTTGAACTTAGTGCAAACAATGTGTCAGATCGAAAACGCTATTAGATACGCCTTCATGGTTTGGGTATTGTATAATATATTGTATTTTTATTATTTATCGAATCAACTACAATGTCAACAATTCAAGTTTTACAATCTATTATCTATCGAACCGATAACACCACGGGACACGGATAAAAATTTAAACTTCTCTTTAATCCGTAGGTCCAGCAGTTTGTGTTTGCCACAGCTGATGTATAAAACAACGTCTTATGTCTTATTTACAATATTAAGAACTTTTGTGACCGATATTCTGTCATCTGTGGTATCACACTTGTACACGTCGTAATTATCTTTATCATGCTTTATTATTATTATTAATTTTTTATTATCATTGTTATTATCAATATTATTATTATTATTATTATTGTTATTATTTTATGTTACTACTTCCTTGATGTAAGCAACGAATCTATTGCGTCGTGTATAGCACAACCGCTACTACTATCAGTTCTACCATAATATAATGTTATATTTATATAGGTGTCACGACTTCACGAGTATCAGCCATACTGTTTACGAGTAAGTTTACTTCGACTCTCAAGTCACGGTYGTCGGACGTTCGGCATTTTGACGTAACGTACGCGTTTTGCCGCATCCGACTACTCCATATTTAACTATATTGTAATGTAATTTTTTTTTTTTTTAATTATTAGTAGTTGTTACAGTAAAAATTACTTTAATTTTTTAACTATTTTTGTGTTTAAAAGGTGTGATAACTCAATGGATTATGATTATTATTTGCATTGATGATCCGCAGAACCTTAATTATGTGACATAATCTGTTGTGTACCTACTTGTATTTGTCTTAATATTTTACAAGTGAGCATCCTTTRCTATTTATGAAATGAAATTAAAATTCATAATTTGTTTTATCTTTAATTTGATGCCATTGAATTTGTTACTAGTATATATTAATTAAGTTATGAATATTTCCAGGTATTTCAATTGTTTTGTTGTGTACCAGTCAAAATGTTTGGATTGTCAAAAGATTATATACCAAAAAATATCACCGTGAAAATTGATAATAATTTGAAACACAGAACTTATAGTAATTCTTCTCAACCTATGCCTTGTAAAAGACGTCATAGCAGTGTTACAAGGTATGATGGTAGTTCAGATGAGCGAGAGTTATCCGAATATGTACATCATAGAGCTAGAACACCACAAAGTCCTAGAGGGTCTAGGTATTCAGAAATTGACAAATTTGATCGATCTAGGGATATGGATTGGCCGCATAATTCACATCACACATATAAAGTATTGTGTGTTAGTGCTATACATCCAAAAGCAAGTGACGAACAAGTCAAAGAAATTTTATATAGAGAATACCGCAAATTTGGTGAATTATCTGTTAAAATATCACATGAACTAGATGAGAGAATGGCATATATTTGTTTTTACAGCTCAGAAGATGCTAAAGATGCCAAACACAGTAAGCCCAGAATAAATTTGTTCGATAAAATTGCTTTAGTTGCACCTGTTTATGAAAGTCGTAGTTCTAGAGATCATCATGAACCAAGAGCTAGATGTTCACAATCCCAACATTTTTCTCCAGATTTTGAAAGATACTATCCTGTTCCTACAGAAGTTCATAGACTACATCCAATTGATAGGTTATATGAAAAGTTACCATATGGTGTTCTTCCCTCAATGCGACTGCCACCAGTTTTTCGAGAAATAGAGTTACCACCATTACATCCACGTGAACTTATGATATCTCGACAACAATTATCGCGTCATATGGATCCTATTCATCCATTTCGTTCATTATATGGCCCATCAAGACATCTTACCCGACCATTTAGATTATACCCTTATCCTCATTTGATGACTTACAAAAAAGATAAATTTCCTAACTTTTTACACCATATTCCACCAGAAGATGACCCGTTAGCTACACGAACATTGTTTGTTGGAAATTTAGAATTTTCTATTACTGATGGAGAACTTCACTGTCTATTTAGTAAATATGGAGTTGTTGAGGATATTGATGTTAAACGTCCATCTCCTGGAAAAGGAAATTCATATGCATTTGTTCGTTATCAAAATTTAGATATGGCTCATAGAGCCAAAGTTGAATTATCTGGTCAATATTTAGGCAGATATCAATGTAAAATTGGCTATGGAAAATCTATACCAACACAAAGGATATGGGTTGGTGGTTTGAGTCCTTGGACAACACTTGCTCATCTAGAACGAGAATTTGATAGATTTGGTGCTATAAAAAAAATTGAGTATACCAGAGGTGATATTTGTGCCTATATACAGTTTGAAAGTATTGATGCAGCAACTGCGGCTGTCGATGAAATGAGAGGAGTGTCTTTAGGAGACCCAGAATATAAGCTGAGAACAGATTTTGCTAAATGTGACTGTGACAGTCCTACATTAACTTATTCAACACAGTCTAAGTCATCTCAAGATGTTGTTGAATCAACTGCTGGAGATTTACAAGAGCAAACAAGACAAAATGAATGTACATTTGGTTGGCCAGATAATGAGTATTCTTTGTATAGTACAAGAATGTATCATAAAGATCATACAGAAAATAGTGAAGRAAGCAGAAAATTTGGTAGTCATGAAAATAATCCATCATTCAAACAGCATTCTGTTTCTGACATTAGTTCTTCTCAATCATCACTTCACCAATTGATTGATAGTGATGTAGAATCTTATAAAGACGAAATACAATCTGTAAGTCCTTTAGATTCTGTCTATACATTAGAGCATTTGGCTTGTAAATGTTCTGATACATGGCAAGGTAGTCTTGTATTTAAAGGCTCTCAATTCCCAGTTAAATGCCATTTAACTTCCGGTGATGCAAATGTCATAAAATCAATGATGAAAGATATAGATGGTAAATCAGTTTTACGCATAACTCAACGACTACGTTTAGATGAGTCAAAGTTGGAAAATGTTTCTACACAAATTATGACTGCTAATAAGCATGCTATATTTTTGGCAATGCCTTATTTTACCAACTCCATTTCTAATGATGATTCATTTGTACAAATTAAACCTTTATATAATTTAGTATCCTATTTAAAACAAAAAAAAACTGCTGGAGTAATATCTTTAATAAGTAAAGATCCTGAACCAGCTGGTGTATTGTATGCATTTCCACCATGTAAGTATTCAGCCAAATTATTGAAACAAAGTGCAAAAAATTTAAGTAGTGAAGCATTAAATGATGATCATTTAGTTGTGTTAGTGTTAAGTGGAAATATTTAATAAGAAATTAATTTTTTAGTTAAGTTTTCTATTATATTTATTAATTGGATAGTATTAATTATTATAAGTGGAAATATAAGGTTATTACAAGTCTGTTATAATTTTATTACAAGTTGATTACAATTTTGTTACTAATGTAATGTTAGAATACCTATATTTTAGGTTTAATATTTTTTATCAACCACAAATTTATTTTTTGTCTGCTACAATATTAGTTGTTTTTAATTTGAAAGTGTAAATTCATTCCAAAACGAATTATTTCGGTTTATTAAAATTATGCATAAGTTATAGCTTGTGTTAATTCAAGTTAACATGTGTTTAATGGATACACAATATGTGAAATGCATAACATAATTATTAAACAGATTGTGTTCTAATGTTTATTGTAGAACAACTATTAAAAGCTTAAAAATGTGTACTTTAGATATTCAATATTTTTCATTACTAATTAAAATAATTTACTATTTTATTATTGATTATTATTATTTACAAAGATCTTGCATTAAGTTAAATTGTTACTCTTATAAGTATAACTTTTAATATATTTTGTAAATTATCAAGCAATCCAAATATTTTAGATTAATCAGTAATATTTATTGAATTTTTGTTAATATTCAAGACAAAATATTCTTAAGTTATTATTCAACTAATGTTTTGTATTATTGACATTTTATAATTAAGTAATTTGCATTTCGATTGTTGTTGTTTTTTTTTTTTTTTAGATAATTTAAATTCATTGCATATAAAACTTGCATGAAACAGTAATGTTATTTTTGCCGATTTACATTAATTATATGATTACATAAATATGAAGCATTGTTATTGTTTTTTTAAAAAAAAAGAAAATTTTAATGGCGCTTGTATTGAAAGTTTAGTAATTTTTGTTTCTTGTATTTACAATTTTTATTACATATAAACCATGTATGACATAGTAATGTTATTATTGCCTATTTAAATTAATTATATATGTACTGAAATATGAAGCATTGTTGTTTTTGTTTTTAAATTTTTATTAATTGCACTTATCTCTGAAGTTAAGTAAATTTTGTTTTGGGTATCTACAATTTTTGGTGTTCGGTGTTTAAGAGGATTTAAAGATATTTTTTCTTGGGATAATATTGTTGTATGTAAATTATAAATTATTATTATTATTAAGCTACTCATTGATCAATTAAATTAATACAAGAAGATTCAACCAAATCCTATTTACAATAGGCTTGAAGTGTCAAAAATTAGTCAAAAAATATGTATGTTTACTGTTAGTAGATCAAACCATGCATTTAGGATTAAAAATAAATTTATTTAAAATTCAAAGCTAATACATAGCAATATTAGTTCTTATAAATAATTTTTTCAGCTTTTACAGTAATAATTAGCGTATTAGTTATTTTGTATAGTCTTTGTAAGAGACTTTTAAATTTTATTTTCTGTTATCCCTCACATCCTCTAGTGTTATTAAATAGTTGTTAATTTAATTACCTAGGTAAATAGTAAATACAATGAACTATACATTTGCATTTTTTGCATAGATAGGCTAAGTTATTGCTGTAATTACATGAATAAATAAAAAAATATTAATAAGTGTTGGCTAAAAATATCAATAATCATTAGTTAATGACTAATAAAAATAAACACATGAATGAGATACTGAAAGTAAATACTTAATAGTTATATTCTTTTTTATAAATGACAAAATTCCCTCTATAACATTTTTGTTCATAATATAGTTATATAATATATAAAATAAATTYTGTGAATATATATACAATAAGCATAAAATATATATAATATAATTATTATTTATAAATCAATATATTTAATGTTTCGGATTATTATTATTTTTATTTTTATAAAATTGAATGTATTTTTAATCTGTGGTATAAGACAATAAAATTAATTAACTCATAATTTACTGAATAATATGAAAAAAAGTAGCTAATTAAGTTAGAAGTTGCATTAAAAATAAAAGTAACTATAGTTAAAAGTAATTAAAATTTTTAACTTCATTCAAACTGAATTTTTTAATGATCATTGAAATCACAGTTGATCATTTAAGTACTTAGAATTAACTTGTTTTTAAAATTTGATTTTAATTATCTTAATTATAATTGGTCWTAGAACATCATTGAATACTGACTGATAATGTACATGTATTTACACACAATGTACTTAAATAGTTGTAATAAATTGTTTACAAATTATTCCTGATAGAAAACTTTAGAACTTKTTTTTCTGTTCAGAATAATACCATAACATCTATACCTACAACAAATTTAGTTAGCTTTAAGATTGTATGTTGTGGGATATCTTTAAGTTGTGCTGGAGAAGTCGTAAGCATAAGTAAATCTGCTGCATGTGCGATTGTAGRAAATGTATTGCAAGAATGGCCTTAGCAAAACTTTTGCCTTCAATGATTACCATAAATAACAAAAATGAATAAGGACATTTAAAAATTACAAAAATAATTATACGGTTTAACCAGATTGTTGTTGGTCGTTGGGGCTATACAGCCTATATTAACTGTTTCTTTGTACCTCACTAGTACTCATTAAAATAATATGATTCAAGGCTCTCCTGATTGATGAATCCTATCATATTACAGTATCTAAGTATTTTATATGTTATACAGTACCTACTCTGAAAATATATTTTAATTGTAATTTTATTTTAATATATATAAGGTGATTATTACCAATGCTATAGATACTGCCTTTTTTCTTCAGTTATTAAAAATCTGTTTTCAGAGATTTTTAAATAAACATTGAGATCATATTTGTATTTCTGATATTTTTATACTGATTAAGGAGTTTGATGTGAAAGATACAAATTTCTTCTGTTTTCTAAATAATTAGAATCTTGCTTTTCTACTGTAAATTATTTTATACATTTGTCTGAAAAAACATGAAAACATAATATAGAAAATAATTYTTAGTAATTTAGGACATTTGAACACTACCAAAGTCTAAGAGTAATAACTAATTAAAAATTATAATAAAAAAACATTGCAGATGAACAATTAATATTTTAATTACCTATATATCAGACATCAGTCAGTTTACTAATAAAAATATTAGGTAGATATTTTAGATCAAAAATCATCTTAAACATCTTAAACATTAAAGATAAATGAAACAGACGTTTTGGTGTACAATTTTTCAAATGTAGATATACACAAAGATCCATGATCTATGAAGGAACAACAATAACTATTGTTAATAAAATATAACATAGGTACATATTAATAAACAAATTTTGGCAATTAATAAAACTAATATATTACTTTACATACTGTGATACAAAAATAAAATTAATTAAGGTGCAAGCAAAGGGTAAAAACAAATATCAACATGAAATTATTTCTGATAAATTATATTTATATTTTGCTTAAGTAGTAGCATGTGAAGTAAAACTAATTCTAAACTCTACATACATGTATAAACCTGCAGTATTTCAAGCACATTATAGAGTTTTGCCTAAACAAAGAGAAAAATTAAGAAGTATAATTGACAAAATAACAAGGGTAAATTGTAAACCCAGTCAAAGCTATCTTGGAGTTCCAGTTTTAGTTTAGTTTGCACCTAAAAAAAAAATAAAAGGTGGAGTAGGTTAGCCTATTATTTCTCAGTAGATAATATAATAGTTTATAATATAATATATATGCACATATCATAAATCATTTATGGAAGAATGTGCTGGCTATTTTGATAGCCTACACTATCTTTTACTTCGTTTGTCATTTTTAATTTATATATAGTACCTAGGTACTTATACACTGACACACTATACACTATTGTACTTTAAAAAAAAAAAAAATGGACATGATTGTATTTTGTAATAATAGTAGTCATCTTAATGCTTATCGGACTTGCATTGGGACCAAAGTGGTAGAGTATTATTAAATATGAAAAATAATACAATAATTTATTTTTTCAAACATGGTTATCTAAATAATGATTTCAAATGATATAGGTAAAATAAATATTTTCAAATCTTTAATATTTTTCGATGAGACACACTGAGGAAATAGTGTTAATCGTTAAATAAATAAAGATAAATYTGGGAAAATTTACTCAAAATTGAGGAAATATGATCTTAAGAATAAACACCAAACAACTAAATAATTTTTTAGAATTCATGTAAATTGGCTACAGCATATTTGAGTTCAATAGGTGAATGAGTTTATTGACTGTGAGTCAAATTATCATTAGATATTGTTATATTCATGTCAAACAASCATATAGTCTYACATAATATGTATAGCTGTATAGATATTTGATATAACTCAATAAACATAGGTACCTAAGTATATAACTGCGGGGCCGTTCAGAAAGGAAGAGGGTGGGCAATAGAACCATTTTTTTTTTCTTGGGATATTCTTATGGATAAGTACCTATTAAGTATGCATACCTACAGCTTATAAAATAATAAAAACATAAGTAAAATACTCAGTTAAAATTAAATAACAACGGTATCCATAAATCAAGGGTAAATAGTGATTATTTTGAACTACTAGATGTAATTACCTATGTAAATGAGATAATAATGATTATATTTAGTCAAGTAGGGATATTTTATTTAAATTMAATTTCTCCTTGTCAGTATTTTAACAGTTAAAAAAATATTTTTAACAACACATTATAATTTTGTCAAAATATCTAGAAAAAGAGCTATTACAAATTTTAATGATTTTCTCAATTGGCCACAATAAGTCATAACCAAGAGACAAAATATTCTAGAGGTATATTTTTGGTTTTCAGAATAGAACATCTCAATTTGTCACTGTAATTAATTAATATTATGCTTAAGTTATAAAAACTTTTAAATTCATTTAGTATCTTTGTAATTACCAAAAAAAAAAAAATGATAATAACTAATATTTTCATAATATAATCTACATTTTTATTTTATTTTCTTACAGAAATAATTTAAAATGTACCATATCCATATGTACACAATTTTCGGTGAAAAGATCACGGGTACATATTTTGTGTTATAAGAACTATTACTTGGGCCTGCTATGTATTATTAATATAAATAATAACATAAACGTATTTATATAGACATTTATTATTAACAGTAGGTATATATCGTAATGACRAAAATGTACCTATACGTACATTATAGTTCTACTCGTTAATAACCGATGGACAGTCCCCACCGATCGTAATAATATGATACTTATGATCATTGTTAGTATAAACGGTATACGTGATACGTGTAATATCATATAATATAAATRCTGAATGGCCCTTGGACGAATATTTTATTGAAAACTTCGGCACTTTTTTAAATGATCGAATACTAATAATGCTAGTCATTTAATCCATATAGATGTAGCTATTACTTTAAGCTATCAAAAGTATTCATATGTACATTTTGTTTTTCTATTTAATGAAATACCTACCTAATATATTTAATTATAGTAGGTAATACACCTTTCTGTTAAGATATAATAAAGAAAATCACAGATCATTCAAAAGATTTATTTATTTACACCTACCTATATGAATACATTACTGGCACGTGGATATTTTGGCATGTGACCAAAAAAAGTTTTGTCATTTGCTCTGGTCTATACCTATGTAAACAAAATCACAATTTATAATATGGTGTGTTTACACAAGCTTTTTAATTATATATTAATATCATTATTGGCTTTTKTGAGTTTGTGACCAATCTCTTCAACGTTGTGCGCTTAATACTTATGCCAACAATATGTCAATATATTATATATTTCATTTTATAGATCTAAATTTACTTCGATCGTTACATATAATATAAAAGTACGATTGTTTAAGGAACCTACCTGATACGCATACTATATTATAGGTGTACAATGTACATATACTGCATATTATTATATTTGCATTGTTAATACTTATCATCGTTAAACAAACAGTTACGTACCTACTAAATACTAAATATTTTATACTTATGACCTAATGTCCTTATATAAAATAAATATAATATTATTAAAAGTTATAGATTCATAGGTTTATCACTTAGTTATTTCCTTTTTCATATACTTGTATATTCGTCGTAAGTCGTAAATCGTAATTATTATCTGTTATCCGTTTTCACCTTTTTKACTCAAAAATATATTATCAACCCAAATACAGATAACGTCATCGAAATAGCATCTCGCGAATCAGTAGTGCACTATTTTTTTTTTATAGTKATTTTTTTTATCGCGATTCTATGTAAATCTGAAAATGTAGATATTTAACAGCTGCTATATACGAGAATAATCAAAATTTTATGATGCAAAATTATTCACTTCGATTACAAATAAGCCACTTCAGAATGATTTTAGAATGAAGAATGAAAATGCCTATATCACGTGGAGTACCTATAGAAAACAATATATTTTTATAGTCCAAAGCCSGATTACGACAGTCAATAAAATATTGTTTACAACTTTATAAGTGAATAATATTTTTAGAATTTTCAAACCACCTTATTTTTTTTTAATGTTTTTTGTCGAAAAAAGCTCTGAGGTAACTGGTAAGTACTCTTCAAATGTTTTCCCTTCATTTTCATAATAGGTGTTTTTGTACTAAAATAACTTCCTAATGATTTATTTTCAAACATAGTGTAAACCTGGTTATAATATTATGCTAAACAATACAATCATTCATAAAGCGTCCTCTCGATTATACACTTCCTCCCGTAGTTACTCAGTGGTTTATTGCTAAAAATATTCGTGGGTATACACTTCCTAAATCTTAGGTGTCAATTACCTTATRCTTACATAGTAACTATAACATAAAATCAAAAAAAAAATTTGATTAAAATAACATCCAAATTATCAGATTTGATATATATGGATTGGATAAAATTATCCTAAAGTATTTTGTGCCCAGCAATATCGCATATAACATACTAGGCAGTGCTGGCAGTGGTCGTATTTATGGAAGGATATTATGTGGTATAAATCCTCCTTAGTTACTTATTTATAATATTTTGATGTCTATGGTAAGTGAACATTTTCTTCCTTTTATGAAAATTTAATGTTTGTTAACGTACCTATATCCCCTCCTCCTTGACAAAATCTTAAATACACCACTAATAATAAATAACTAAATAATAGGTAATATGTTATTATTAATAATTAATAAAAGCTAAGGAGTAAAAAGTGACCAAAAAAGGTGTTGGTCGTGGAAGGGGGGGGGGGTTATAACCTCTAACCACCTTCCCACCAGGTTCTGATCCACTGATTTAACTGAAGCTGAGTAAACCAGTGTGTATACGCAGTCGATTCTGGTTTAAAATGATTTCGGGTGACGTCGGCGACTCGTTGTCTCGTTACACGTTTTATTCCGACGAAATATAGACATGGGTTAGGTTAGAGAGTTAGGTAAATACACGCGTTTATACGTTTGGCGGCGGTTCGTCAGACTCATCGTGGCGACTTTTCGTGGATYTTCCATACAGTTGCGCCAGGCTGACACACTTTGGGTCGGTGTGTCTGCTCCGTAACATTGAACTCACATCCTCGAAACGCTCACCGTCGAACTTACTCCTCCGTTCCGACCATTTTGACGGCATCCCGTTGTCCAAGTGCCGTTCGTCACGTGATTCAATGGACCGCGTTCGTCTCAGGTCGGTCCAGCCTCCGCTGCAATCGTCATCGCCTCCCCGACTACGATGTCCATCCAACCGGACTCGATAGTCGTCGGTCGGTATCTGACGTTTAGTTGGCGGATCAGCGAACGTGTTGCGGCTCTTGTAGTGGCCGGTGCGGCCGTCGGGGGCATTTAGCGCAGCCAGTTTGCGCGCCAGATAGGAAATCTGTGGACGCTGATGCTCCGACGATGACTTCTCGACAACGGCCCGGCGTTCTTCGGTCGGCGGTTTGACGTTCCCGTGGCCGGCGCTCTGCCTTATCGTGCACAATTTCGGTCGCGGGTACTCGCGTTGCTTTTTTTTTGCGCCACCGCAGCCACCCCGGTCTTGTACCGATGACTGTTGCTCTTCTTCTTCTTCTTCTTTGGTCGTTTCTTAAATCGTGTCATATTATTATTTAAATATTATGTTATACAACAATTATTTTTATACAAACAAATCTTTAGATTATTTTCAATTTACATATAATAATATATGTTAACGGTGCAAAGATACAAATTAGACAATAACTTCAATAACGATATTTCCGATAAATTAGACAGTATACGATATTGACTAGGAAATAACGTTRATGACCATTATTTTCAGGCATTTTCGTACATTTAGAAATGTTATTATCTAGATAAGGGCAATAGGTAGTTAAATTATTTAATTAAATTATAATATATTTGTATTTGCGCACACCTATGCAAATTACATAACATTTATTTATAGTACCTGCCTACCTTCAAATTGTGAAAATAAATTATTCATTTTATTTTATTTATGTAATATTATGTATAATTTACCTACCACATATTATTAAATGTATGACCTAATTTAGAAATTTAGCAATACAAAATCATCAACATTGTTACCAATATTTTAGGAATTAAGGTAATTTTCTTATCATAGTAGTAAAAATTTAAACAAAATATTAGATTTTTACAAAATCGCCTATATAATAAGTCAGTAGGCGCATTGACGATATCGTCTATTAATATTAGGATATTGGATAGGCGTTTACGTTATTAGTATTATTACCTAATTTATATCATTGAAAGTAACATAATGGATATAATGCTCTATTGCATAATTTAATTTTTATAACATGATAAACATAATTTTAATAATGTAATGAGATGATGAATTTGTTACATTATACATTAAAATATACAATAATATATTACGAAAAAATCACTAAATATCAAATGATATGATGATTAAGTAATATTAGTATTTAAAATATAAAATTAAAATATGAAGTTAGTTAGTTTCGCATAAATATTAACTGACCCTTTAATCAAAAACGGTAAGTTTTCGTTTAAAGTTAATAAAAACGAATCCAAAAAATAAAAACATTCTGTCCAATAATAAATTATTCAAGTATAAACAATTTTTAAATAAATAACGTATTTTAACGTTTAAGAAGAAATTTAAGTTGTTTTATTTTTATACATAAGGGCGCACCCCCGTATGTATATTTTGTTGTCTCCATCTTAAAAAAGTATAAAAAGCCAATTTGCATCAAGCCGAATCAATTTTATGTTGCCGGAATTAATATTAGAGAAAATTGACAAAGTAATTAAAGTAACTTAAAAAATAAGAATACTATTTTAGAAATCACATTGGATTTAAATAATTTAAATTTAATAAAAGTGAGTTATGAGCATWTAAAATTATAATATTTTACATAGGTACATAAATTTGATWATTCAATTCACTCTAAGATTAATGCTACAGATAGGTACGAAATTATTGGTTCTTCTTAATGTACATTTTGTTACGTATTAAGACAATAACGACTGCACATCGTATCTATATATTTGGCGTCTCTATAATATTATACTGCTAGATATTATGTAGGTAAACGTATAGGTTTTATATTAGGTATGTAAGTATTTAATAGTTTTTGGTGTCCAAATAAATAAATACTTTTGGATATAATTTTACTATATACTATACTTTTATCGCCGGATTCCGAAACAACGTTGGCTTTTATTGGAATGATGTCATCGATAACCGACTGTTCAACGTTTATCATGAAATCACCAGGATAAAGTTTATCGTAGGCATTAAATGCTTCTTTGTCAATTTCTATTTGTGTCTTAACTTGAGCATCAACTTTGCGATCCGAACACATTTCTGCGCCAAGTCTGATATCTCCAGTTAATAGGCTAGCATCATTCCATTCGAATACTTCAGTCACATTTCGGTTTTGTTGTTCTATGTTCATTACATTACAAAGATCTGGAGTCTCCCCACTTTTTTTGAATCTATCTGACCTAATAACAATTATTGTTAAAAATGTTTATGTATATAAAGTGTTAGGATGATTTAAAATAATTTGCTACTCTGTTCATTTCATTTCATATCTTCAACAAAATTTAGTATACTATACTCTATTTAGGATAAAAAAGGTTCTGAAGCTTTGCTTCGCACACCAGCATTGATGGAAGAAGTATCTGACAGTYGCTGATAAACCGTTAGCACACAGTACCTTTTTTTATTGTGAATATAGTATAGGTATTAGAAATGAATGATGATTGTTCCGCTTAAATTGAAAAATGTATAAAACCTACGATATACTACAATATTTTATACAAAAGATTCATACACCTTCGTGCGTTTTTTCTATAAATGCATTGTTCAAAATAATTTTGTGTGTTTATGGAAAATTGAAGTTATATTAAAAACAAGATTATTATAGTATTAAATGTTATAGTTATAGATTTTGATTTTTTTTACTATTTTCTTCGTTTAAATATATAATAACACAAAAATCGGGATATTTTGTAAAAGTGACATCCATATTATCAATATTTATAGTAGGTATCTAATTTATTATACTACACTAATAATTTTACTTTCAATTTAACTATACAGGCAGTGGCGTAGTTACGGGGGGGGGGGGGKWARGGGKTTYCCCCCCCCCCCCCCAAATTTATATTGGTATTTTATCTTCTGCGATACTTAATATATAATACTAATACGTTTAGTTTAACTATAACTTGTAATTTGTGTCATAAATATATTTTAACCCTCCCCCCAAGAAAAAAATCGTATCTACGCCGCTGTATACAGGTGTAAGTTTATCAAGTACCTGGGTTCTAAGTATATACATAATATTTACATTCCTATTTTATATTAGAAAAATAAAATTTATAGATTTAATAAATGACATAGCCAAATTACTTTTTTCTAGAAGCCCTGCTGCCAACAGCTGATGATTTTAAATCACTTTCGATACTGTTAACAATAATATATCAAACGTACATAAGTATTTTAGCTATCATAATCGTCTATATAAAATATGCATTTTATTACTCTTTAGCGGTTGCATTTTTTTGGGCGTTCGGAAGTTTTATATTGTCTGTGCTTGGGTTGTGCAATTTTAATTGAATACCCGCTAGTGCTCTTTCCCATTCAATATCTGTGGCGTGTGGACCACTTTTAGGAATTGTTATTTGTGGTGAAATAGACCAGTTATACATTGGTTCGTCTGAAAAAGCGTAATAACACTGGACACCGACGTTTGGTATCACTTGATATGAAGAATATTGGCGTTTGTCGTTGGACATCGCTGTGTTTATTGGTGGAAAAGTATCCTTTAAAATTTTTTCACTATCTCCAATACATGTTGCAGTGCCTTCTTTCTTTAAGAATTTTCTCGACATTTCAATCACCTGTAGATATTTGATACTGTGAGTATTTAGTATACCCCAAACGATTCATTGACACAATTTTACTCCGTTTTCCAAAGGATCAATTGTGTCGGGAGGAGGGTCTTTAAATGGGCATATTGGTTCTGGATATTGCAATGCCAAAGTCATAAGTTTTATATATTCATTTCGAACCACTTTATTTTTATTTTGTTCCAACACTTTTAACCAGCTTGATAATACACAAGCATCTAAATATAGCATACAATTTTAGTTAGGTACCTGTCTAAAACTTTTTCAGAAGTTATGATAAAATTATTTTATTTTAAAAAAGAACCTTAAACAAATAAATTAAACTAAAGCGTATACTATTTWGTTCATTACTGGGCTTCCGTTAACCAATTTTTTCCCCCAAAAACCTTAGATTTGAAGAACGATAGACTGTCTACCGATTATGTTGTTCCATTTAAAAAGCGGATATTAAGAAAAGTTTAATAAGTCGTAGACCATTAAGAGGATGCCATACTCGCATTCGTTGTATCCTTGTATCCGTCTTATAAAAGCTTAACATAGCAAATTATACGTTATGAATAATTAATTTAACTCTGTTGAGGTTTAATTTTAGAGTGAATTGATCTATTACCAAATTTAGGAGGAAAAATATTATCTAGTTGACGACATAGGTACTTTTTTTTTATATTTAAATTTTTAAGCATGWTATAAACATTTTAAAATGTTCAAACAATTCACTATTTTAAAATGCTCATAACTTGCTTTAAAATTGAAATATAAAAAAGTATGTTATTGACTAGATAAAATTCTTAATAAAATAACAGAGTAAGATGCAAAATGTAAAATTTGCCATGTTATATATTTGTAAGATGGACACAACGCAAGTATAGGTATGGCATCCTCTTAAAGTTTATTATCTTTTATCGAATCAAGAGTTTTACAGTTTTGTTTTCTAATTAGATATCACTTTTCATGTAGCWTAGAATTCAAGTTGGTGGTTTATTTCCTAGAAAAATGAATAAATTAGTAATAAAGAGTATATCTAAGTCATATTTATGAATTAAGATATAATATTATATATAGATATAATATCAAAATACTTTTACGAGTGTAATGGTATATCATATGTCATAATTACAATTGTATTATTATATTTTATATTATATCCATACTGAATTATTATGMATACACATGCAGGTACGAGGCACCCGCAGTATCAGGTTTCATAGGGTTAAATATGAAGTACCTACCTACCTACAAATATTAAATTCATTTAATAATAATAATATTGTTATTTTAAAAACAAAATGTTGAATTTAGTTACTAATATTTAAAGATTACCTATAAAAAAATATCAACAATTTTGAAGTTTTGAACTCAATTTCGCATTTTTAATAGTTAGGTACAATATATTATATCTAATAAGTATTAACTTTTTATAATATTTATACTTAATTAATATATTGTATTTAAGCACTAGTATTTTTATTTATACTTTATTATCATTTATTATCTAAACATTTTTAAAAATTAAATGCCAAGTAGTGTGAAGGACCAAAATTTAAAATAATTCTTAAAATATAAAATGATTTATTTAAGTTATACGCAAAGACTTCATTTAGTCTTTAGACGGTGCTAGGGATGTACTGAAAGACAGAAGATAAAACCAATTGTAATCAGAAGTCGAAACTATAGATTTTCTTATAAGCTAGTATAAATCATATCTATATACATAATATAAATAATTCATAAATGATAAAAAATGTAATGCTATAAGCAGAATTTAAACTTGTTTGCCGGTGAACTTTATTATATTTTGATAATGGTAATTGCCAACTTATAAATTGTACTAGCGCATATCTATATAGTTTATATTTTTACTATACTGATAGGTAATCGATATAGGATATAAAACTATATCTCTTATTTTAACTAATAATAAAATTAATTATAGTAATATAATAATGTAAATTACCTCCAATATCATTACGTTTTAAAATCAATTGTTTAACTATATCGTAAAAAAAAAAAAATGTTATATCTTCATCATCCGTTGGATTAGGATTTCTTGTTAATGTTTTGATTTTACTTTCATCGTTGGCAGTCATATTTGACTAGTAACTTACAAATCGAAATTTAATCACGTAGGTACGTATTATTTTATATCAATATTAATAATTCAATAAAATACATTTCATATTCATTAAAATATAAACATTAAATTTAAATATAAAAAGTTACATGATGTTTTTATTAAAATAATATGTTGCTAAGTGAAAAAGCAAATTTTTAAAGCCAAATAATAGTTATTGGTATAGTTATCATGATTAAGTATAGTATTATATGAACACACCTAAATAATAAAGATATTATAAACTCATATTATGTAATAGTATGAGATATGTACGTTTGTAAAATCTATAGTACTCATTACCAGAGGCGGTTTCAATGTATTATACTTGGTGGTGCAAGACAATATATAGACACCCTCCCCCCCACTACCATCATAATAGAGATTACAAATAAATATTTTTTAATAAGTTTATAGTTTATAATTAGGTATAAGGCCCTTACATTCTTAACTCAACGCTTTCGACAGTTTCAGCCACGATTATCATTTAT